ATTTTCACTGCTGTAAGAATATTAATTTATGAAGCTGACTTTGTTTTTTAACTGTAAGAATACAATAACTCGTACAATTTGGTGCTTCTGCCTTATCTGTTCTGAAGGTTCCAGCAGTTTTACCTATCATTTTTGTACCACACATGCAAAGGCAAGTATAATAAAAAAAGCTAAGGGGGAAAAAGTCTTAGTATTATTATGAAAGGGAACTCTGGTGGCCTAGTGGGTAAGGAGTTACACTGTCAACCAAAAGGCATGCAAATCCAACAAATTCAACAGCTGTTCTTTGGGAGGGAAAAAATGGTCAGTCTTCTCCTGTGTGATTTGTTTGCCTTTGAAAACCTAAGAGAGGGCAGATGACAACAACAACATAAAAAATAGTTTTCACCTTATGGCCACCTTGAAAGATATTAAACAAATTAGTGTACAGTTTTAAGTCAGCCTTCGGGTTTTCTCTGTGACTTTGCTCCTTTTCTTCTTCCAACGTTTTATTCTCACTCTAGAGAATGAAATTCTAGCCTCAGTCCAGATATCCCCTTCCTGAATCTTAGCAGTTCATACCAATCTCTGCTTTCTCTGCAAACTTCAGTCCTTACAGGCTGAAATAAAGAAATGATAACTTCTCCACCTATGATATTTTATGTTTTTCTAATGTTTCAACCTATGAAATTTGCTGGCACCTTATACAACTTCATTTCTATTTTAACAAGCGTTACTATCACTATCTTCATTAAGCATCTTATTAACTATCTTTATTAAGCATTAATTATATTGTACTAGGGGAGCTCTGGTGGCTTAGTGAAGAGAAAATTGTGCTGTCAATCCCAAGGGCTGTAGTTCAAATCTACCAGCTGCTCTGTGGGAGAACGATGGGCAATCTCCTACTGTGTGATTTGCTACCTCTGAAAACTTGCTGGAAGGTCAAATATGATCAGTTATGACTTCACAGCACACAAGAAGAAAACATACTGTGTGCGACCAGATAGAGGATGACATCAAAGATATCATCCATGGAAACAGCAAACGGTTGTTACAAAGACTGAAGAAGACACCCAAAATGGATAAGAGACTCTAAAAATTGCACTAGAGCATTGAGAAGCAAAAACAAAGGGAAAACATGACAAAGTCAAAGAGAAGAACAGAAAATTTCAAAGGGCATCTTGAGAAAACAAAGTGAAGTATTACAATAGAACATGCAAAGAGCTAGAGCTTCGGAATAAAAAGGGAAGATTTCATGAAGCATTATTTTTTAAGCTGAAAGAACTGAAAAACAAATGCAAGTCACAAGGTCTAATACTGGGAAATACTAGGAAAAAAGTCTTTAGTGATTCAAGAAACATCAAAAGAAGATGGAAAGGACACACAGAGTCTCTGTACCAGAAGAATCTGTCAACACTGAAAAATTCCAGTAAGTACCATAGAAAAAAGAGCCAGTCGTAATGAAGAAAGATGATCAAACTACACTGAAGACATTAGCAAAAAGTAAGATCCCAGGAACTGATGGAATACCAGTTGTTTCAATTAAAGGTGCTGTCCTGGATGTGCTTTCCAATCTATGCCAGGAAATCTGGAGGACAGATGCTTGGCTGACTGACTAAAACAGATCTAACATTTGTTTCCATTCCCAAGAAAGAGGACTCAAGAGAATGTGTAAATTATAAAACATTATCTTTAATATAAGATATTATAATATTATAAGATATGAATATCTTATCATATAATAAGATAAGAATATCTTATTATAATATAAGATATGAAAGCAAAATATTGGTAACAATTATCCAAAAATGGCTAGACCAGTATATAGGTAGTGAAATGCCAAAAGTTCAAGCTTGGTTTAGATGAAGACATGGTGTTAGGGATATCACTGCTGATGTTAGATGGATCTTGACTGAAAGTAGATAATACCAGAAGAATGTCTATTTGTGTTTTATTGACTATGAACAGGTATTTGACTGTGTGGATCATAACAAACTATGGCTAATATTGAGAATAATGGGAATCTCAGAGGACTTAGTTGTGCTTATGTGAAACCTATACCTTGACCAAGACACTGTCATGTCAACAGAGTAAGATAACGTTACACGGTTTAAAGTTAAAAAAAAAAAGTGTATCTCAGTATTGTATCATTTCTTCATATCTATTCAATCTGTATGCTGAGCAATGATGTAAAAAGCTGGACTGCATGAAAAATAAAAAGTGAAGAGGACTTTAAACACTTAATGCAGAAGAGCAAAGACTATAGCCTTCAATATGGACTACATCTCAACATCAAGAACAAATATTCTCATCACTGGACTGATAAACAACATCATGACAAATTGAGAAAAGACTGAAATTGTCAATTATTTCACCTTAGTTGGATCCATAATCAACAATCAATGTTCTTAGTATCTGTAGTCAGGAAATCAGGAGACATATTGTACTGCACGAGTTTGCTATCAGGGACCTCTCCAAAGTACTGAGGAGCAATGGTGTAAATTTGAGGACTACGGTGCACCCAATCTATGCCATGGTCTTTTCAATCACTTGCTATGCATCTGAGAGCTGGAAAATGGATATGGATGATAGAAGAATAACTCTGAGCTGTGGCTGAGTCTTTCATTTGTGGTGTTGAAGAACAGTGCTGAATATTCCATTGGACTGCCCAAAGAACAAATAGATATGTCTTGAAGAAAGTACAGTCAGAGTGTCCCTTTGACACAAGCATGGTGAGGCGTTGTCCCAAAAATTTGGGGAATTTTGTTAGGAGAGGCTATTCCAGAGGGACATCATGCTTGAAAAGGTGGAAGGTCAGTGACGGAGAGGAAGAGCCTCAATGAAATGAACCGAAACAGTGATTGTGGCAATGGGCTAAAAAAATGTCAGAGATGATAAAATGGCACAGGATAGATTAAGGTTCACTATTAGTCATACTCGATGCGATGGTATCTAACATTATTTGTTGGCACTATTCTAAACAGACTTATTATTAAGCCTTATAAAAATCCTTGCTGTATATAGAGTATAAAACATCAGCTAAGCCTACCATGAGTAGCTCGACATCTACCAAAACCTTCAAGGCCCTCAGCTCTCTCTTTGCAAATTTTACAATTGTAGGTGAGTGTAAACTTGACTGGAACCTTGTCTTAATAGTGATTACACACCACAACAAGATAAAGGTAAATAACTCAATTGAAAAATGGGCACAGGATATGAGCAGACACTTCACTAGAGAAGACATTCAGATGGCAAACAAGCACATGAAGAAATGTTCAAAATCCGTAGCTCTAAGAGAGATGCAAATAAAAACAATTATGAGATATCATCTCACCCCAGTAAGAGTAGCAAAATTTAACAGAATAGCAAGCAACAAATACAGGTAAGGTTGTGGAGAAACTGGAACCCTTATTCACTGTTGATGCGAGTATAAAATGGTGCACCCTCGATGGAAGGCTATATGGCACTTTCTCAAAACGTTGCAAATAGAAATACCATTTGACCCAGCAATTCCACTACTGGGAATATACCCTAAAGAAATCATAACTGCCACCTAAGTAAATATATGCACACCTGTGTTTATCGTGGCTTTGTTCACAACAGCCAAGAGTTGGAAACAACCCAAGTGCCCATCAACAAATGAATAGATAGAGAAGCTCTGGTATAGTCACACAATGGGATACTATGCTGCAGTGAAAAACAAGGAACTCATGAAATATTACATAAAATGGGTGACCCTGGAGGACTTTATGCTGAGTGAAATATCTCATTCACAAAAGACAAATATGGCATAGGGCCACTGTTGTAAAACGGGACTGACATTGGGGTTGAGGGATGACTGAGAGAGAGGGTGTATACTGCATTGAAATAGATGAGGGAGAGAACTGTTAAGAAGAGATGTATGATTAGGTATTATTGTCATGACAGGAGTCCAGAATGAAGGCTGCACAGCGGAGTGGACCTGGGGGGGGGTGGACTGTATAACAATGAAATAATTTTTCTTTTAATTTTCAAAGAAAAGAGCAAATTGGGGGTAGGCAGGGAGAAAAAGTGCAACAATGAATGAATGGAAACCCTAAGTCTCAGTAAACTTTCATTAAAATTAATAAAAAAAAGAAATGGAAAAAATCTTTAAATGCAAAAAAATAGTGATCACAAAGACATAAACTATTATTACATATTTTCCCTGTCAAATTGTAATTTAGAAAATACTTCCAAAGTAACAATGAAGCATACTCATCCAAGACTATGCTATTTAAATTAAAAAAAAACAACAACAAAATAAAATTTTAAGGCATTATCAACTTTGGACATAGGAAAGCCCCTCTTTTTTTTTTTTTTTTAACTTGCTGTTAGCCACTGCTTAATATATCATTTTTTTCCAAGTCAATTAGAGAATATTTCTATCAGCTACTCTGAATCTTTATAACATTGAATGGTCGGAAGTTGAAAATCTGAATAGTCTGAAGTTAAGGCTTCAGGCATCAAAACCCACATCCAATATCCCCTTCCACTCCCAATGAAGCTATACTGGCCAGAAAGCTTTATTTGCTGCCTTCAAAGGAAGTAAACATTCTGGTCTCTGGATTTCTTAAGATTCAGGATTCTCATCCTGTAGCCAAGTATAAATAGAGAAATGTTTACAAGGCAGAATGATATAGGTGGTCTGTGAAAAATCTCTGATAGTCATTAGTACAAAGAAACAATTTTCTGTTCTGTCCACATGATCAGCTTGTTCTACATGAGTATCCCCATTCGACCCTGGCCAGATCTTCACTTTCTGTTCTGTTAAACATGCTGATATGTCACCAAATGTACAGTTGTACATGAAAAATAAATGCTCTGGTTCTCTGGTATACCACTTACATTCTGCCTTATGACAGAAGCCTGTTTATTAAAGGAACCATAGCCTCTTTCTAAATACTCAGTAGGACTATGTCTCATTTGTACTTGTTCTCTCTGCCTCTAAGATAGTGCTGGGTACCATTAAGAGCTAATACAGTGCTGTCCTTTTGACTTACGTTGACCCCACTGTCCACTACTGGGATTCAGATAGTTAGGATAAAGGCCTTGTGGTTTTTCCAGATTGTTCAGTACTGTTCGAATATTCATTACCTACAAGAAAAAAATGAAATGTTATTATAAAAATCTAAAAATCAACTTTCCTTTCTTGACTAGATTTCTCCTTTTAAGGAAAAATATAAGAAGGAAATTGTATTAAACGATGTAGAGTTAGAACAAAGATAGTCAGCCTGAAGATAATACTACAAAACAAAGAAGAGGAAAAAAAGCAGAGCAGTTAAGTGAATATAGTCACATAGCTAGATTAAGTGTTGTATTTCAGACATCATTTGAGAAACTGTGGATAAACAGTCTCTACTCCCTAGGCATCTGCAGTCTGTGAGGATGATTTAGATAATAAAACAAATACATACCGACAATGATAAATACTATTTAAAAAGGTAACAAAAGGTTTATTCACAGATGGAATAATTTTCTTGTGGAAAAAAGGAAGGGAAAGGGGACAACAAATTAAAAAGAAAATAAGGTAACCAAAAAAAAAATTTACACAGATTGTTTTAAAGTTATTAAGTTCATTATCCATAAGTGGTTGTAGAAGCTGGATATGTAACCAGATTTCAAAAGAAAAAAACAAGTAAGTATTGTGGTACAGAGCGATATAGGTAAACAGGCCACCCAATGGATGGTTCAGGAAGGCTGACAAGATAGTTTGAGAAGGCGTTCTATGGGACTGAGGGTTCACTTCAATCATGCAGAAATACAGAGGAAGGAAATGATAAATAAGAGAAGATCACTCACAATAGCCCTGCAATGAGTTCACTTGGCAAGCTCTCTGGAAATGGAGATCAAGAAACGAGGTGAGTTGAAGAGAGGGAGCCATACCCAGTTCACGCAGGCTTCATGGGTCACGGGAGGATTTATTTATGCTGAATATGAAAGAAGTCACTAAATAGGAGAGGAACCAGGATGTGTTCAAGAGTTATGGTTTCAACTACTGGGTAATCTGAGATGGCATTTACCAAAAGAGTGAAGGCTCTGCTTAGAAGCAGGACTGGGAGTCGACACTGAGGCTTTCTAAGTGAGACTTGTTTATTAAACAACTTAGTGGTGATATGGGAGAGGTGGATGGACATAGAGTCTGGGATTTAAGAGAAAGACTGGGACTTGAAATGAGGAGCATGAAGTCAACAGTATGTAGATGATATTTGCTTCCTAAAAATGAGAAACTGATTTAATTGTGACCTCTCATTCGTATAATTCTTTGAGTCGTACAGTCTTTCATATACTTATATAATCCATACAATCCTACATATTTTCACATGAGGAAATAATTCAAAGAGAGAAAGAAACCTCTGTGATGCAGGAAAGCAGACACAAAGCTAGGTGTTCTCACTCTGAGTTAGAATCCTGCTGTAGAAAAAAAATTCACGTTCACAATTTAGTTATTATATATGAGAAGAAATGTGGAATCAGGATTGGAGGAAGACTCATCAACAATCTGCATTATGCAGATGACACAATCCTACTTGCTGAAACTGAGCAGCACCTGAAGCGCTTGCTTGCAGAAGGTCAAAAACGGCAGCCTTCAATATGGATTGAAGCTCAACATCAAGAAAACAAAGATTCTCACCATTGGGCTGACTAGCAGCATCATAATAGATGGTGAAGAGATTGAAATTGTAAACAGCTTCAGTTTGCTTGGCTTCACAATCAACATTCTTGGCACTAGCAGCCAGGAAATTAAAAGATGTATTGCCTGGGATAGTCTACTATCAGACACCTCTTCAGAGTACTGAAAAGCAATGTTGTCAGTCTGGAGACTAAAGTGCACCTGATACAGGTCATGGTCTTTGAAATCACTTGATATGTATCAGAGAGCTAGACAATAACTAGGGATGACAGAAGGAGAATTGATGCCTTTGAGCTGTGGTGCTGGAGAGCAAGTATTGAATATACCATGGACTCTAAGAGAACAAACAGTTTCATCCACGAGAGTGTTAAACCAGGCTGCTCCTTGGAGGCAAGGATTCTGAAACATCATCTGATATACTTTGGACATTCTGCAAGGAGGGACATCATGCTTGAGAGGGTGCAAGAGAGGAAGGCTCCCAGGAGATGGATTGATTCACTGACAGGGGTAATGGGGGTAGGTGTGGGAGAGACAGTAAGATTGGCACAGAACAGAGCAGGGTTTAGGGCTGCTGTACATAGGGTCACTATGAGTTGCAGGTAACTTGATGGTACATAACAGTAACAACAACATGCAATACAATTTTCAGTAACTGCTATATAAACCTTGTTGCTCTTTCCACATCCAACAGTACTAAATAAATCTTCCAAAGGGAAAATTTCTTCTAACAATATATGAAGCATGTTGGAGAATCTCACCTTTTCAGCAAAGATGGGGTTTCCTGATAAGTAACTCAAGTGCATAAACTCCAAATGCAAGGTTCCGAATTCTGCCAGAATACTGCTGCCTCCAGACGCCCAAGGCCAGTTCCTTCCAATCCCACTGAAGAGGAGAAGACATTGACGAGTTACAGGTCAGACTCATTCTACTCTTCACAACTCTTAATCCCAAAGATTCTTGGTTTGAACATCCAGTAGTACCATGGAAGACAAGCTTGAGGAGTTGCTTCCATTGACATTTTGTTGTTATTAGTGCTGTTAGGTGCTGTCAAGTAAAAACTGACTCAAACTTGACCCTCTAGTGAGTTTTCAGAGGCAGTAAATCTCACAGGAGATTCCCATCTTCCTCCTGAGGAGAAATTGGTGAACTTGAACTGCATGTCACTAGGTTGGTAGTGCAAAGTAGAGCCAAGAAAATCCCACAACGCAGTTAGTTCTACACTGCAATCCATGGAATTACCAGGAGTAGGAGCTGACTGGACAATAACAATCAGTTTTAAGAGTAGACGTGAAAGACAAATTTTCATAAAGACATCTTAGCTCACAGTGTACTCTCAACATTTTAAAATGGGACACTTGTTTTCCCTGACTGGTACTACTTTCAGGTTTTGACTCCTATCTCCAAATTGAAAACCAGTTAAAGTTACTGGGTCTCTACTGTTCATAAATATTTTGGAAGGTATGAATGCTGTATATGAAGTACAACCAGTCTTACTAGAATATAAAACAGTATCTGACCAAACACAACTCAACATGCCCCAAACCCTACAGGTCCCCTTCAATATTTCAATGTCAACTGGAGGTTCTGTGAAATTTTACAAACATTCAAATTATATGTACAATTTCACTTGATCAATTTAAAAGATTTATCATTTATATACTCAGTCTAACTCTCTCCAAATACTCCCTCCAATTTCTTTCTTTAGTTTTTTCACCATAGATTTACATTTGTAACTTTATTCAGAGTGTTGTTGTTAAGCACTGTCTAGTTGCCTGAGATTCATAGCAACCCTGTGTACAACAGCTCTGAAGCCTGCCCTGTCCTGAACCAGTCTCACTGACTCCAAATGACCTACTTCCATTATCCTAGTTACTGTATTAATCCATCTCATCCGAGGTCTTCCTCTCCTGCGCTGTCCCCCGCCACCCTTCCGAGCATGATGTCCTTCTTCAAGGATCAGTCCCTTCTGGCCATGTGCCCAAAGTATTTTCTAAAATCCTTGCTTGCTGACCTACTTAACCTATGCTCAAGAATCTTAACAAAAACCATACACATAACAGCTCACACATGATGAATGAGTTCTGTTCCCAAAGCTGTCGCTAAATGGAATTTGTATGTAAATTAGCAGTTTGGTATGACTGGCTTTTTTAATCTGACATCCAGTAATTAATGTCTTAGTACACATAAGATAGTGTATTTTTCTATGGATAAAAACATTAAATAACACTAAAATATAACAATACAGTAGTAGCAGTAGTAATAACGATAAAATGCAAAATAATGAACCTCTGTTATTAGGAAACATTTATATATGTACCTTAAGGGTTCTTTTAAATTATTATACTATTTACAAAATACGAACACATTGTTTTTCACACCAGTTCTTCCCCATTTCCTTCACCCATCAAATTGTGTGACCCCATGATTAATTCCCTTCCCCCTGCATATCCTCGCTCTTCTGCCCAATTGGTACTTAAGTTTTTAATATTATAGACAATGTAAGGTGTGATGGCTAATATTGTGTGTCAATGCGGTCATGATCTTCAGGATAACGTAACTGAAAGCTTTCCTTCAGGCCTGAAAACCTGAAGGGGATAAATCTGTCCTCTCCTAAAGCCCAGTCCTGAGGCACAGGGCCACTTACATCAGCAGTTTGTGCCAACAAATAACGGAGGGAAGAAGAGCTTCCGGTTGGAAGACATGCAGGCCCCAACGCTGGAAGAGGGGCAGGCCTCAGTGACCCATCGTCACTGGATAATACCACTGCCCTGCCTTCTCTCATAGCTGTGGCCACGCCTGGTCTCGGCTTGTACTATAGGCATTTTAGGCCTCAATCTGTCTACACCACGAGTGCCTAATGAACAGTGTGTTGTTACATACGGCTTCTAGTGTTCTCTGTTGTCGTGTTCTCTGGGTTTGAACCCATCGTGGGACCAGAAAACTAAATCTTTTATCTGGTGCCAAATCCCAGTATATGGTTGGGCCTGGGTTAAGTGTTCCTGGGTGAGTGAGGAACTAGGAAAAATGACGTGACATACTTCTTCCATTCCAGACCCTAAAGGGTATATAGGGAGTGGGGTCGGAGTTGCTTCTTGCTATTTCCTGCTAGTTATAGTGGGGCTACACGTTCCCCCTAAAGTCTGAAGGAAGAGCATCTCTTTTACATGGTACTGGGTGATGGCTGGGGAGATGGTGATGAAATGTTCATTTTTAGTCTGCAAGCAGGAATAGGTATTGTGTCCACAGGCAAGAAAGAGACTGCTTCCTATTTTTAGGCATCCCTAAGAGTTGAGTCAGAAAAAAACTGAATTCTGTGTGTGTTGCCTTCTCGTTCATTAAAGAACTTTTAGAAGCATTACTTTTGCCCTGAGAAGCAACAGTAATCGTCTGCACAGGACATCAAACCAATAGAGGGACCAGAAAAGGAAATCTTTTATTTGGTGCTGAAATCTGGGATATGATTAGACCTGGGATAGGTTTTTCTGGATTACGGGAAACCAGAAACAATGACATGACATTCTTTCTCCATTAATCATCTTAAGTGTTGTCTATTCTACTATCTATGTTGCTAATGAGGCAGGATTAGAGGGGTTCTGTAAAGATGTAACCAGTCTTTTTTTTTTTTTTAATTTTTTAATGTGTATTCATTCACTGTTGCACATTTTCTTCTCTCCTCTCTCCCCCAGTCTCCTTTGCAAAGCACCTCTTGTTCCAGAATGCTGTCATACATATGATACCTAATAATATATTCCTTTCGGACTGTTCTTCCCTTTATCAGTTCTAATGCAGTGTCCATTATCTATCCACTCTTTTGCTCTTCTCCCCCCAACTTCCCATGTCAGTCTTATTTTACAACAGTGATGTTATGCAGTATTTATCCATTTGTAATTGAGATATTTTGCTCAGTATAATGTCCTCCAGGCTCACCTATGTTGTGTAATGTTTTATGAGTTCACTGTTTTTTTTATTGCTGTATGATATTCCCTTGTGTGAATGCACCACATTTTTCCTATCCATTCATTTATTGATGGGCACCTGCATTGCTTCTAGCTCTTCATTACTGTGAATAACACAGCAATAAACACGGATGCACATACATCTGCTTGAGCTGTGGCTCTGGTTTCTTTAGAGAATATTCTCAGTAGTGGAACTGCTCGGTCAAATGGTATTTCTATTTCCAACTTCTTGAGAAAGTGCCAGACCACCTTCCAACGTGGTTTTACCATTTTACATTCTCACTAGCAGTGAATAAGAGTTCCAAACGCTCCACAAGCTAGCCAGGATTTGTAGCTTGCTGCCTAGTTGACCTTTACTATTATTGCTAGAATGAGATGATATCTTATAATTGTTTTTATTTTTATCTCTCTGATAGCAAGATGTAACCAGTCTTATCTGTTAAGGGGAAGTCTTTCATAGGTGTGTTCTACACTGAAGTCTTATTTGACCAGGGGGAAGTCTCTTCTCAGTGTACTCCACACTGAACAGGGTTAGACGTGTATAGGTAAAGGATGTCTCACTTTCTTCTCTTTCCCAGTTAGACCCCATTTAAATGCAGCTTTTGGTATCTCCAAGATTCCCTAACCCTCTTGTTTTTTTTTTTCCCCCTCCTCATATCATTCTCAACCTTTTACTAATTTTACTGCCAAGATGCTAAAGAATGCTGAGGGAAAGGAACAAAAAGAGAAACAAAGTACTTGAAATTTCAGGCTGGTCTTAATTCCTTATTGCTTAGGGCACAACCTAGGTTTTATCTCAAACACAGTTCACAAGCAAAACTAACAAAAGGTAAGCAGAAGTAAAAGACAGATACATTACTTTATTTTAGAAAACGTCCTAAATTTATTCAGGTCTGAGAAAGAGAACCAGTCATTGTTTTCTTGGTTGGCTCAGAGCTAAGGAATGGATTATCATCCAAATAAAATGAACAGCTACTTTCAAATTTTATTAACATATGGTAAATGCACAAAGTAATTGGCCATAAATTTGTTATGACATATTATTATTTTTTATTCCACTCATCACCAACCAAAGCCAATGGGCCTATTAAGCAAAACCATACATTTTCATGTTGTAAGGAAACTATTGCAAACAAAGCTGTTAACAGAAAGCAATGTCTAGGAAGGAGGGGGGATGACTTCATCCTGGAAGAAAGGATAGACTCTGAAGAAAGCCAGCATACTCCCTAGATCTTCTGGGAGTGGGTTTTGGCTTAAGGCGTTAGAAAACATGCTGGTACACACAAATGTGAAAGGTAGACACTGAATGTTTACTAAACTAATACACAAATGACTTATCCTTTAATTTCTTCTCTGCCATTAATATAGGGGGCTCTGATGGCCTCGTGCTAAGGAATTGTGCTGTCAACTTGAAGGCAGATGGTTTGAGTCCATCAGCTGCTCCATGGAACAAAGATGAACAACCTCCTCCCATGTGATTAAGTGCCCTTGAAAATCCACTGAAGAGTCAGCTATGGGTCAGTTCCAACTTGACAGCACACACCAACAAAGCCATTAATATCGTTATCAAAAGGAAATCAGAGATGCACTTAAAAATGTTTCAATATGATAAAATAACTAAGACTTAAGATGAATTATATATCCCCCTTTCCTTTCTTGTGCACATTCATTGAAAGAAAACTGCATCCTTTTCTATTACTATTTAATTATATAGCAAGCAAGAACATTGAAAGCACTTGCAAAGGGTAAGTCACACTATTAGAAAGAAAGCTGGGTTTAGATAACATAGTACGATTACATGAAAAGATGGCTACTATTAACATTCATTTAACATGCAGCATTTTATTTTATTTATTGTAAATAGATCAATGGTCCTCTTGGCTTTTAAATAGAGTTAGGGAGGAGGTTTCTGAGGGGGTCCAACCA